TCATTATTACTTCATGATTAATCGATCGTCACGTCAAATTAATTGAATCACTACAGGATATAGTTGTAACTCTTGTACTATCCTATTGACGTCAATTTCCGTTATTGAATTACATAATGTCTTATTTCATCCTCTCAGTAAATAAAGTTCCTTTTCCTTATTTAAGAATCATTTTATATAGAGTCTCCTACTCATTTTACTCTTTCAATCTATTCACTTTTACAGTTGTTATTATGTAACTTTCAATATTAAGTTTGTAATTGTCTCTACATGTTCCTTTATTGAATTCTTTCCTAAGAATTGGATATTTAACCACTGGAATATTGATTTTTCTTGGAACATTTTCATATCTGTCATTGTTCTTTGAATAATCTCCATTGACTTAATAATAAAAGTATGTAGAATGATTTTAAATAATTATTACTATTCGTTTTCTAATTGAGATCATGAACTGATTCATGTTAGACCACCATTGAAAACATGGGAACACTGGATGTCTGTTTCGCCCTGTTGTGGGACTCTTCAACAGTGTGCATCCACGAGCTCGCTTACGCGTGAACGTTCAACCTACTAGACCAGTGAGCCGGCCGGAATTCAATGTTGTTTATGTCTAACCTTAACCAATTCATGAAATTACACGACCATCTTCCATTGTACCGGGGTAGATACCTGGATTAGCTTCACTGGCCAAGGCTTCTTACTAGAACTTTAATAGTTATTTAAATCTACCTGTTGATATTAGGAATTCAATTGATACTTAAAAGAGGCTTAAAAATGCTTAAGACTTTCAGATAGACAATAATTCGTGTAGGGAAGGTGAATTTAATTTTGTAATGGTTTGATACTTTCCATCGATATTAAGGAATACAATTAATTAATATCTTTTAGATAGGAAGAGCCAAACCATTACAGATATAAGTTAATCCTCTTTGAACAATTTAATGCCTACTCGAACTCAGTAGTTCAGTGAATGACTCGAAATTTAAAATATAAGTCATTGCGTTTCAGTGCCAATAAGAACACCAACACTTGGGTTTAGTTTCACTCGGCTAATGAGTAGGAAATAAAAAGAGACAAACTTCCCAGGTGTCATTATTAGCCAATATTTAACGTGACTTGAATAATTACGGTAAGACTATACCATACCGACCACCTTCAGTGAATTTATGGGTGTCCTTAAGATTGTCCAATCAAACATAACCAGTCAGAATGCAGCTTTCATGTAAAAGATCCAAAATATAAGTGCAGGTGCATTCACTGATGCATATATTAATAGTATTCTATGTTACCTATGATTGACTGACTTACATACTATGCGTGTGTTCATTGTTCTTTAAAATTTTTTCCTATATCTTATCCCTGTATAACCTTCTTGTAAACAGAGTTTATTTATAGCCAGTTGATAAGATATCAACAATAGGATAATCCAGTCTATTTCAAATTAACTTAAGTGTCATACTTCTTACAAAAGTTAGTGGATATCCAGACTCAATAGCTAAGTAGATAACGCGATGACGTTTCAAGCGAACGATACGATGTTTGAGTCCCAGAGTAAACATCAACTCTGAGATTTAGGTACATCCAGTTAGTGAATCCCTTAATAGGACAACACATATATCGTAGACTCCATTACTAGCCAAATTCCATATATTCATATTGACCATATTGAAACAATATTTCTACTATATGGGGCGGAAACTTGGAGAACTACGAAAGCCATCATCCACAAGATACAAGTGTTTATTAACAGCTGTCTACGCAAAATACTTCGGATCCGTTGGCCTGACGCTATCAGCAACAACCCAGTGTGAGAGAGAACAAACCAGATCCCAGCGGAGGAAGAAATCAGGAAGAAGCACTGGAAGTGGATAGGATACATATTGAGGAAAGCACCGAACTGCATCACAAGTCAAGCCCTCACGTGGAATCCTGAAGGCCAAAGGAGAAGAGGAAGACCAAAGAACACATTACGTCGAGAAATGGAGATAGACATGAGGAAAATGAACAAGAATTGTATAGAACTAGAAAGGAACGCCCAGTAGAGAGTGGGTTGTAGAATGCTGGTCGGCGGCCTATTATCCATTGGGGGGGGGGTAACAGGTGTAAGTAAGCAAATAATATGTAGACAATCCGTACAGCATGGCCATATGCCGAACATGAGTGATCAACTTTTTAATCAAAAATATCTACAATAGGTTAATCTAATCCATTTCAAATTGAATTCATAAGATACTTTCAAAGAAATTTGAATAATAATTTAATGATCAAGTCAGTATATCTTACACTTCTTTATTGTTCATTATTCTATTTTATTTTAGAATAAAAGAACATTCATTCATGAAGTGGAATGAAAAAGTAAGTTTTTAAAGGAGACAATATAAAGTTCCTGTCATCATTTATTCTGTTTTATTACCTACCTCTTAGATGAGTCAATTTTATTCATGAAAGTTTATCTATGATATAGGTATTTTCAAACTATGTCTTTGTATTGAGTTTTCTTTTTCTTACTTTTTTGTGTGTGGAATGTTCCCATTTATGTTTACGATTACAATTGATTAGTCTGTCTTATTGGCATATATACATTTTATACAGATTGCTTTGATATTGCCTTAAATCATAAGTATTATAGGTAGAGATGAATGGTGGCTAACAGTGGAATCCAGGACACGCATTTCGTCCTATTTAGGACTCATCAACCGGATGTCGCATTTCAAATCTAATCCTTCTTTTTTTTGAAATATTTAATCATATTAAACAGATTTATGTTGAAAATGAGATTAGAGCTCTGAAAACTACAGAAACGATGATTATTTTCCTAGACTATGTATATCCAGTGTTAATTTATTTAGTTCATACAATTATATTACTTACAATTTAATAAGTAGAGTTATTAAATCAATATGTCAACTAAAGAATTTCGACTTTAACAATAGACATTAAATATTGAAGGGTATTGAATAGAAACACAAAGCTTTTTGTTTATTTCATGCTCTTAAGTGTAAAGGTGTATGTTTGTGAGGTTATTAGATCATCAATTGTCAATATAAGCAAGTTTGTGTAAAGAAACAATTCCTACTTAATGTATCTCAGTCAGTCAGTCAGTAACAACGTAGAACTTCGTACGTACGTACATCAGTTCGAGTTGCCACACCACCTTAGCACAGAGATGCAGTTGTCGATTCAAATCCCGTAGTGGTAGAGGTAGCAAGAGTATAAGCAGTAATCGGGAAGATTAGGGTTTGGAGGTGTTATTTAAAAGGTATAATCCAGTGAAACAAATTTGGAAAGAGGAAAAAAGGGACATGAAGAATTCAGAAGTTTAGAAATTGAGAGAACACATTTAATTTCATACATTTAACCATGAACAAGAAAATAAAGTACCACTTAAGAGGGTATTTTTATAAGATTATAGATAATAGCAAAGTCTGCTAGGGAACTCCCAGTAATGGCAAGTAGTGTATATATATATATATATATATATATATATATATTTATAAAGAAAAATCAGGATGTCATATACTACTCACAAGGTTTTAGAAAGATATGAGCATCAGAAGGTCCTTGGTTCGATCCACGGTGGAGTCACACTAGAACAAAACAACTATTTAGTACTTTTTAGTTTTCAACAGTTGTCTAACTAAGATCAGTTCATGATGTAAACAATAAAACTTAAGAATATCCAATAAAACCTCACATGCTAACAAATCATATGTGTTTATGTCTATTCACCTTATATTTCGTTAATAACTACCATATAGATCAATGTGTTTCTGAATTTGTAGTGACCATTTTTTTTTGTCTCACATTAAAATCTAGTTAGGATACTGTTGAAAACCAGAAAGCACTAGATATCTGTTTCGTTTCATCTCAAAGTCAGTTTAACATCATTCAAAGGTCATTCATAAATTATAGTTTTTGATGGAGTTTTGTTCTCTAAGCTGAATAGTTTGGTCGTGAAGCTTTCATTGTTCCTCTGAATGACATCATCGACATAAACTTCAGGTAGAATTCTCATCATAATATCAACTAACATACATATATTGTAAATATTCAAACCAATCAGAAATCAGCGATTATTTCAAATGATCAGTGTTTCATTCTACTATTCAAACAAACAATCAATCAATCATAATTTATGTCCAACTTCATCAGTGTTAAATTGTCAATTTTCAGATGGGAAAAATAGGTGAGGCTATAATTTGTGGATGACCTTTGAGCGACGTCGAAGTAACCTTGAGAGTGTCCACCTCATAACTGGTTATACACCAGTGTGTGAGGAATTAGAATTATGGTTTCATTTTATTTATTTAAACACATAAACATTGGTACAAGGAGGCACCAAATATATATGCACCACATAAATTATTTGATTTGTGTGAGGACTGGGATACTACCCGGGTGCCCAAACCGACCACACCACGAGCCTTCGACCTAAATGTCTGGTTCACAAGGCAGTGGAGTAACGTCAGGAGATGCAGTCCCATGGTAGCCGGTCACCAACAATAGGTTCATACGCCATTTGTTCCCTCAGGATCCTGGAGCTCATATGCACTATTGGTTTGGAATCAAAGTTTTCCAACTCCCATAGGTGGACTCTCCGCGTCCACTAACCCGGTTTCCCCACCAGATATTCGCTTTTCATCCTCTTAATTTCGTAAACAACACTGGCTCCATCCGAAAACGTTGAGTAGGACTTCTCTGGCATTGATTGTATACACAAGGACATATGAGAGCATTTTGAGAAGGAGTGCTAACTCTTCCCTTTTCTTGGTCATACTAGAGTATTCGGGGGTTGAATTATGATTTACAATTGATGGTTAGGGTTAGGAATTAGATTTCGGGGTATTTATCATGAACTAATATCAGCTATAATGTCATAACTCTATTTATCCAAATGACCTATTATCTTATACCTAATTAGTTCATTCATAAATTATAGTTTTACCAAAGAGGAAATTACAAAGAGGAAAAAATATACTTTCCTATTTTGTTTTACTCACTTTGGTTTAGTAAAATTTAATGATGCATTAATACCAATCATATTGGCATTATGATTATTCTCATTATTCTCATTATTTTTGTTCAATATTAAAGGATTAGAATATGGATTGGACAATGTTTCATTCAAATTCTTAATTGGATATTTTAATTGTCCGATTAAAAGATTTTCTTGTTTATTTCCAGATTGATAATGACGATGATGATGATGATTCCCATTGTTTAGATTGTTGTTGTTGTTGTTACTGATGTTGTTTGGACTGTCTAATTTGTTGTATAGATCTGTTTGTTTTGATAGACTACTATGAGTAGTAGTAGTATTATTATTATTAGTGACAGTACGTGGCGGCGGTTGTGGTGGTGGTCTAGGTGGTGTTGATTGAACAATTAATGAATCCTGATGATGATCATGATGTTGTTGTTGTTGTTGGTGGTGGTGGTGGTGATGATGATGTGTATCATTTTCATTAGAAATATGATTTTTTTGTAATTTAATCATTGATGGATAATGAATTGATGTAATTGTTGCTTTAGTTGGTATTGTTGTTGTTGATGGTGTTGTTGTTGTTGTTGTTGTTGTTGTTAAGACTGATGAGTGTATTATGGATGAAGATGTAATTGTATTTACTTGAGATTGTTGTAATTTTTTTGTTTTTTGTTTAAATTTAGATAAATTAAAAAATAGACCAAGTATATATTTTAATTTACTATCCACAATGTCTACAATGTAAGAAGTGAATGGATAGGAGTGAAAACAAATTGGATATTGTTAGTAGTATATACAATGATTAGTAAAATATTAAAATACAAAAAAAAGGAAAACATGTGTACATAATGAATTTCAATAGTTGAAATCATGATTCAATTGAAGCTAGATTACTATGGAAAACCTTAGAGTACTGGACGGCCAATTCGTCCTAGTGTGGGACTACTCAACAGTGAGGAAAACATGTGTACATAATGAATTTCAATAGTTGAAATCATGATTCAATTGAAGCTAGATTACTATGGAAAACCTTAGAGTACTGGACGGCCAATTCGTCCTAGTGTGGGACTACTCAACAGTGAGCATCCACGATCCCGCCACACCGCAAGATTAGAACACAGGACCTATCAGTTTCACGCGCGAGCGTTTAACCATTAGACCACTGAGCTGGCCGGCATTCAACAGTGTTAATGTGTAACTTCAACCAATCCACGAAATTGCGCTATCGTACACCATTGTTTTCAGTGAGTTGATATCTCACAACAGACCTTGTTGAACTCCACTGGTAACGGCTTCTCACTAGAACTGCAAGAAATGCCTCTTGAAGTCAGTCAGTGAATAAATTGTTCGCTATTCAGATCAAATTTCTCGCATTTTTTTTAGTTTAAGATAGATAGATATTGGTTCGTTTGAAGTAGTCAACCGTAAATTATACTTTATCTAGATTCCCTAATAATTGATATTGATCAATATGGTGTACCTGTGATCTTAAAAGAAGTTTGAGATGAAACAGTTAACGACAACTATCTAGTATAGCAGCTAATATGTAATTGAGTTTGTTCATATTTAATTTGGTTAAGCCCTTTTGTTAACTTATTCAACGGATAGAGTCATTCATACAACGACAACTTATCCCATATAATCTTACCTTTATCACTGTTGTGCTTGTATGAATATGAATGCTCAAGCATTGCTTACTGCCTATGAATACATGCATTCTGCTAGCCTTACTGTTAGTCGCTTAATTTATTCGATGTTGATGGACTCCACTCACTCACTCACTCACTCACTTGTTCTTCGGCACTCGCTTATCGCTCTTCCTTCGTGTGCCTGTAGTTTTGGTGACCTATTTGTGTGTGGTGCAATAATAAACGTAATCAACACTTCATATTCGCCTTCTGATTAATACATCGTTTGGGAGCGTTATCTAGTGACGGTTATCAGGATGAACTGTATGCGAAGTTTAAAGATTATATTATTGAATATCGACCACCACACCAGTGTTCACTGAGGATCAAATGACTACTTCTACTACTACTACTACTACTACTACTACTACTACTACTACTACTACTACTACTACTACTACTACTACTACTACTACTACTACTACTACTACTACTACTACTACTACTACTACTACTACTACTACTACTACTACTACTACTACTACTACTACTACTACTACTACTACTACTACTACTACTACTACTACTACTACTACTACTACTACTACTACTACTACTACTACTACTACTACTACTACTACTACTACTACTACTACTACTACTACTACTACTACTACTACTACTACTACTACATAGGAATACTTAATTAGCATGAAAGTAAATACATTTAAGTGATAAAATATAATAGTAATGATAATGATTATTATTATTATTAATATTAATCTTACCTTGAGGAGTAAACCCATTTGTTTCAATGCCAAGTAACTGGAGCACTTGAAAACAAGCCAATACATTATGAAGCTAAAATGATACAATAGAAACATGATCAATATTTGTAATACACAATAATCAATTCGTTCAAAATGTCATTATCTTTAAGAATAATGAAATTAGAATATAGATTAGGTCATATTCTATTTGGTTAAACTTGGTTGATAAGATCCTTTAAAAAAAGTGTCTTATCGATTAACTGAATGAATTCTCACAGGTTGAAATCATGAGTCAATTGAAGCTAGGAGAGCGCCAATATATATGCGCCACACAAAACAATGAAAATTCGAGAGGAATACAAAGAAAGAAAAAAAAGCTAAGGAGCGCAACAAAAAAAAGAGAACAATAACGAAGAGATTGGTGTAAGGTAATGTGCTAGTAATCAGGGAACGCAAAGGTACAATCGGAAGAAATCTTTCAGGTAAGGGAGACAGAACCACTTTTCATGAAGAAAGTAAAAGAAGGTTACAGCAGGATCGCTACGGGCTTCTATTCTGAGCCATATCTGATAACGTCTCTAGCCACTGTGTAGCACCATCTCTCGGACTCCAACCAGGGAGTCGTGAAGGACCAACACAAGCCAGTCCTTTGCAGCTTTCTTTCACCTCTCCGCTTCTTCCAACCAGTCCCAGAGTCGGCAAATAATGCACGACGTGGAATTCTCTGGGACGACATTCGTAGAACATGTCCAAGCGACCGAAGTCGGTGTTTCAAGATGGTGACACCAATTGAATTATCATCTCTGTGCCCGAACACACGATGCCGAACCTCTGCATTACTGATATGGTGTTGCCACTGAATGTCAGCAATCCTTCGGAGACAACGATGATCGAACACAGAGAGTCGTCTAACGTCCTCAACTCGGAGAGGCCAGGTTTCACAAGCATAGAGCAAAACTGCTCTCACCGACGCGTTGTAGATCCGACCTTTTACGGCCAGACTAACATCACGAAGGCGCCATAGATGGCCCAGATTGGCATAAGCCGCTCTGGCTTTCACTATTCGTGCATTGATCTCATCACTCACATCTCCACCAGCACTTATACAGCTACCCAGATACACGAACTTCTCGACTACAGCGAATGTCCGGCGCTTTAACCGGATCACAAACCAATGGTGCACATGGGCTCCAGTATCCTGCGAGAACAAATGGCGTATGAACCAATCTTTGGTCACCGGCTACCATGGGATTGCATCTCCTTACGATGCTCCACTGCCTTGTGGGTTAGACCTTTAGGTCAAAGGCTCGGGGAGTGGCCCCCTAAGAAAACCACCTGCTTCGGTTTGGGCACCCCGGCAGTATCACAGCCCACACACAAATTGATGAACTCTTTATGCCTATGGAAATTACCAATTGAAGCTAGACCACTATGGAAAACCTGGAAGCACTGGACGGCCGTTTCGTCCTAGTTATGGGACTCCTCAGCAGTGCGCACCCACGATCTCACACCCCGCGGGGCTCGAACTCAGGACCTACTGGTCTCGCGCGCGGCCACTTAACCGTTAAACCACTGAGCCGGGACCCAACGGTGTTGATGAATTCTGTTCATAATATGTGATTATTGTATACAATCTATCTGTTTGATCTCTGTCTCCTCCTCTTTCTCTCTCTTTCGATCTCTTGACTCAAATACCCCTAGTTAAGTAGCCTTTTCAAAGTGCTTGGTAACATTCAGCGTTCATCTGGAATAATATTTTATTGATCAAAGCTTTACATACTACTCTTAAGTAGTTTTCCATGGTGGTCTAGCATCAATTGACTCATGATTTCAACTATTGAAATTACTACAATCTCCACAAAACCCCTTCAAATAATAATCATCAGCTCACTAGTGAATGACTTCAAGAGGCATTTCATGGAGTTCTAGTGAGAAGCAGTGAACAATGGAGTTCAACCAGGTTTGTTGTGAGATATCAACTCACTGAAGACAATGGTGTACGATGGAGCAATTTCGTGGATTGTTTGAAGTTACACATTAACACCGTTGGATGCTGATGGGCTCAGTCGTCTAATGATTAAACGTTGGCATGTGAGATTGATAGGTCCTGTGTTCGAATCTCGTTGGGTGGTGGGATCGTGTATGCGCACTGCTGAGTAGTCCCATACTAGGACGAATTGGCCGTCTAGTACTCTAAGGTTTTTCATGGTGATCTAGCTTCAATTAAATCATGATTTCAACTATTGATTTATATAATTCAAACGTTAGAATCATTTTCAGTACAGTGTTTATTTTGTGCTGATTTTTCAATGAACTGTTTGATTTTGAAATTGGGGATAGTGGAGAAGATTTGTAGCTCAGGTAGATGATTTTGATGAAGTTTTGTTCTTGAGGCTTGGGTTGATAACGTCATTCAGAAAGACGATGAAATCTCCACAACTAAACCATCTAACTCAGTGAACCATACTCTATTGAAATTGGGTAGATTGTAACTACCAGTGAAGTATAAGTAGTTTGTTTCATTCTATTTAGGATTTAGCATCTAGATGTTTGGCAAAGGTGTTTTCTTTTGAGCTTTATGGAATATACTGATTACTGATAACATTTATTGAGTTCATCAGGCCTATATGCTGATTTTCTTATCTAAAATATGTTTTATTTAAAAGAAAAAAACAGTTCTCATCCATAATGACAATCGCTAGATCAGTCAGTCAGTCAGTAACAACGTAGAACTTCGTACGTACGTACATCGATCCGAGTCGCTAGATCAAGTGTAATCAGTAACTTTCAAATTTTTATCGCATTGACTGAAAATAGTTTTTTCCCATGACAGTGTTCAATGGAGAATGCTAGTGGGCGGCCTATACTCCTTCACGAGAGGTAACAGTTATCAGTATGAAAGTTGGATTTATTTTATCATTTAACTAATGTGTACAAAACACCTTGAATCTCTTTCTCTCTCTCCCTCTATATATATGATTTACAGTTGATGATTAAGCTTAAGAATTAGATTTAGGGTATTCTGTTTATCCAAATGGATGAATGAATTTGGCGCCAAAATCCGAGAACTGTTATCTTATACGTGATTGGTTCGTCTATAAACGATAGTCTCACCGCGAATAATTAACATGGTCAAAGTGTAGCTTGATAAGAATGGATAAATTAGCTTGCCTGGAAGCTGGAATAAACTCAACATAAGACTAGCCACTACGTGAGTTATAACACTATTTCTTGTTAAGATTAGATATTTACAGTCAGATTTTAGATCAAAATTAAGTGTTTAGGATGTATGTAACGCAGTTTGCCTACAAATGATCCATCAAACATGCACAGTTCTACTTTATTATTACTCCCTCCCTCTCTCTCCAAAAAATAGTCATTATTATTATTATTAGCTTTATTCAATATTATAATTTTGGTACAATATAGAATTCTCAGCGCAAAGTATTTCAACAAGTTTCCGTTTCTTTCTTCTTGGTCGGTCCTGGCGATAAATATTGAGGAATCGCCAGTTAGATGTTAGCACTTCAGTGAATGAACAACTGAATAATGTACATTCTTTTCGTTGTATATTGCCAGCAACCATATTGTCTCTTATTGAGTTTTCTGTAACTTTGACAACGAAAGGTTGTACACTTTTCCGAAACGCAGCAGAATAGGTTATGCGATTAATAAACATAATGATATATTAAAACAAACAACAATAGATAACTTGTTGAAATATCTAGATGGCAGGAACAGGTAGCCCAGATGCTCAAGCAGGCCGCCCTAGATGAAGTTCGGAAACCCTAGATCATGTAAGTTATTATAAACAATCAATATGATTTATCAATACTCAAATAATGATAGATGATTACTTACTGATTGAGCGGATGTTTTCGGATTTCGACATAAACGTTGAACTTTGATATTAGCTAGATGAGAATAAAAAGTGATTTAAAACCAGATGATAGAATGTGTGAAATCAAGTAGAAATCAAGAGGGAAAAGAAAAAAAGAGGCTAATGCTAATGAAATGAACTCAATATAGATTAAAATTCATTATTATAATAGTAGTATTGGAAAAGTTAATATGGATTGTGATTATCACTGAAATTGATGACTTACGTATGATCTTATTTAAGACTCTTCAATTGAATTTATCCACATCTATAGTGAGATTTACAATGAGAACAAAACTTAGTATTAATCATTATAAGCAAAGATAGTTGATGACTAGCAATGGAATCTAGGATGAGCATTTCGTCCTATTTGGGACTCGTCAGCTGGATGTACCTGCATCTCAGAATTGATGTTCACTCCAGGACTCGAACTCAATGCGAGTTACTTGGATATTACTTTAATTCACAAGCATTTTAATCTCAGTGTGTTTTAAAATTATGAGTATGATATTTAATTTGCCTAAGGTTCACTTAGTTACCAAAAATTTCCCCCTTTAGGTGGATGGTTTTTATATTATATCCCCATAAAAATAATTGGTTTAGGTGAGATTATAATTTATGGATGATATTTGAGTGGCCTTGAGAGTGTCTGCCTACCTAATGGGGACAAATAAAGGTTATAAACCAGTTTGAGGAATAAAGATAATGATTTACAGTTGACGGTAAGAATTAGGATTTAGATTTATGGTTTTCATCACGAACTGACATCAGCTAAAATGCTATGATGCTATTTGGACCAATGGGTGAGGGAATTTCGAGCCAAAATCCAAGACCTTTTGTCCTAGATCTGATCGGTTCGTTCATAAATTATAGGCTTATTTAGATTATTGAAAGTCTGAGAACGAGAGGAATTAATACATGTGTACGTGTGTAAGTGTGTGTCTTATGAGTTGTTTGAGTCAAATGTGGACCATTGAGTCATAACGATTAGTAGTAGAGAAATATACTAGGATACATAAAAATCATGGGTTTGAATCTAAGCTTCATCATTCATGAATTTAATTGAAATCTTTCAGATCAATCTTCATTAGTTCATCATTATCAGTGGGTTTTCAGCTTTACGCCGCCTATGATAATTGTCACGAGAATATTTGTTATTTTTATCATCATACTAACTAAATTTTAGTAGTAATGTTGAATTCATAAAAACAATCTCGTTCGTACGATTTAAATGGACAAATAGATGAAAAGTCGGAACTTTTCCGACGTGTACATGAATACACCGACTCAGAAGAATGACGATTAAACATGACAGTGTAAATCTTTAAGAATCTGTGGTTTTAGTAGATCTGATTCCGAAAGTTATCGTAAATGGGGGCTAGAGTAAAATTTCGAAATTGAACGACAAAAAACATTAAATTGTTTAGTCTGTGATGTAAACTACCTCATTAAAGTGATCTATCTATTTATCTAATCATCTATATATATACACTTACGCCTGTTACTTCTCTTGAAGAAGCATAGATTACCCACAAGTATTCTCTATTCAACTCAGTGGTGGGCAATCCTTTCCGGTTGTTTCCACTTTCTATTCATCCTTTTTATGTCTGCTTCCAATTCTCAACGCAGGGTGTTCTTCGGCCTTCCTCTTTTCCTTTTGCCTTCAGGATTCCAAGTTAGCGGTTGCTTCGTGATACAGTTCGATATTTTTCTCAATGTGTATCCTATCCACTTCCAACATCTTTTCCTAATTACCTCCTCATCTGGAAACTAATTTGTCCTCTACCACAGTAGGTTGTTGCTGATGATATCCAGTCAGTGGATTGTTTATCAGTAGTTGTACTTTTTTGATGATAGTTATAGTAATTCTCGAAATTTCAGCTCCATATAGTAGAACTGTCTTGATGTACATATTGATACTAGTTGTCAGTTGTTTTGAGGTTCATATGTTCTTGAACTGTATAAATGCTGTCCTTACTTTACTAATCCCTGCTTTTATATCCTACTATCTGGTGACCAACATCAATGATCAACACTCGTCTATTCCACTACTAGCCATTATGCAGCCCTTCATATATTAGGTCTCAAAACGAATGCAAAATAATGATGCATACATAAATTAGCAATACACAATATCCAACTTACCTACTGCATGTATAATATCAGCTAACAATAGTCCATTAGATAAATCTTTCTGTATATTTTTTATTAAATTTGAATAATTTGCCTTTTCCAAATAATGATTGGCCCAATCTGTATATAACTTCAATGAAAAAATACAAAGAAATTCTAATGAACAATTCATATTAGTTAAAATGATGTGTTAATAATCGCTATGAACTTGCTACAGTTATAAGGAAACATGGCCGGTAAGAGTAGAGGATATTCGTAGGTTACTAGTATTTGATCATAGGTGTCTTCGAAATATTGCTCGTATATCCTGGGACCATCGAGTAAGTAATGCAGTTGTTAGGAAACGGGTACTAATTAAGGATGGTAAATCAATTGATGAAGTAGTGAAATTTCATCAGTTGAGATGGCTGGGACATGTGTTACGTCCGCCAACCACCGACCGCCTCGATGTGCGATGTTTTGTTGTATAGGAGTAGATTGGAAGAAAGCTAGGCGCGGCCAGACCAAAACATGGCACAAGTCCATGAAGTCACTGACAAGTAGACTGAGTCATATTGGTAGGTGTAGACTACCTGGTTGGGGACCGCGAGATGATAGCAACCGATGGTTAGAGACCTTGAATGACATGGCTCAAAATCGTTTGCAATGGCGCAGGTACATCCACTCTTTGTGTTCTTCCAAATTCTAACCTTCTGAATTCTTCATGTCCCTTTCTTTTTCCTCTTTCCAAATTTATTTCACTGGATTATACTCCTTGAATAACATCTTCAAAGCCTAATTTTTCTGATTACAATCTATAGTTTTACTACATTTAGCACTACGGGATTTGAACCGACCACTGCCTCTCTGTGCTAATGTGGTGTGGCAACTCGAACTGATGGACGGACGTACGAAGTTGTACTGACTGACTGACTGAATAAGGAAACATTTACTTAGCAGTGATTTATTCCCAGAGGTAATACCCTAAGTTCCAGCAAGAATCCCTAACTAAAGGAGTAGATCCATGTTGAATTCAAAATAATTACTCACTAATGGCATTGGAAAATGATTGCACAATTTAAATCAATGGTTGTTGACTCTGTAATCTAGGGATTAAACACTCTTCTCCATAATACCTGAACTTCCTCAGTTAAACCTCTGATGTGATCGTGAATGTGTACTGTTGAAGTGTCCCATACTACAACTAAATATCTGTTCAATGGCTCTGATTTTTTAATGGCTTTTTCTTATAATTAAGATAAATCCGTGGTTGTAAACACTTTTTATCAAATCAAGTTGGTCTACTTATAAGTAGGTTAAATGAATACAAGAAAACAAGAGGACTGTAAATTCCAATTGTCAGTTCTTTTTTTCTCGATTGTGATCATGAACCGATTGATGTTAAGCTACCATGGAAAACCTGGGAGTACTGAACGGCTGTCTCATTATATTATGGCACTCCCCAACAGTGCGAATCCACGATCCCGCCCGTGGAATCCGAACCTAGGGCTTTCGGTCTCGCACGCGAACGCCTAACATCTAGACCACCGAGTCGGTATCTAACGGTGTCTATGTCTAACTTCAACTAATCCACGAAATTGCACTACCATCTTCCATTTCACTGGGATAGATACCTGTCTCTACCCGACATGGATTAGCTCGACTGGTCATGGCTTCTTAACAGAACTCCGAGAATTCTCTCACGAAGCTGGTCACTTGTGGTCTAGAGGTTGAGCGTTCGCGTGCGAGACCGAAGGCCCCGGGTTGGAATCCCGCCAACGGGATTGTGGATGCGCACTGCTAAGGAGTCCCAAAATAGTACGAAACATCCATCCAATGCCTACAGGTTTTCGATGATGACCTCACATTGATCGGTTCATGATCTCAATTAAAAACTTAATAGTCTCCACAACTCCATACTGAGAGTTCCTTTTTTATCAACTTGATTGTCATAAATTAAATATATTAGTCGGAAAATTTACAGTCATCTTAAAACAACACAGACGCATATAGATACATATAGAAAGTATCAAAAAATATGTGTATTTCTTCATTCTAAACCTTATTATTTTCCTGATTTTGATCTTATTTCTCACTTGACCATCGTACTAATATTACTCTTACAACTACTGACTATCGTAAACACACATATTCACACGCACACTACGCACACACACACACATACACACATGCAATTTGTTTAGTATTCTCAAGATATCCAACATTTGACATGATTCAATTACATATTATATGTGCGTTATGTTAAATAGACAATAAAGAAGTGAGTACTAATATTACAACTAGTAACTAAGGGAGGGAGGGAGAAAAGGAGGGTGTGAGTGAGTGAGTGAGTGAGTGAGTGAGTGAGTGAGTGAGTGAGTGAGTGAGTGAGTGAGTGAGTGAGTGAGTGAGTGAGTGAGTGAGTGAGTGAGCATGTAGTTTAGTATACTTTCTCCAAGAGAGAAATATATTTTTTTAAAAAGACTTTTTTTTCAAGTTCAAAGCAAACTCTACTTTGTATTTACTTGGTAGTCGGTTTATTTTTTTGTGTATCTATGTGTGTGTGTGATTAATGTTTACTGTAAAATAAGTAGGGTAGGTAAGTAGTAAAGAGTTTTTGTGAAATATTTGATCAAATTGAAAATCATTAGAGGATGGATACAATGATATTGATAGAGAATATAAGCTAAGTTAATAACAAATCAGTTTGAATCTTCACAGATACATGTCAGAGACAATGTAGTCGCTTATTTTCATAGCTCATAGTTTCACAAGTACATAGAATCAGTGTGTATGTATGTTTGTGTGTGTGAGGGAGCTTCTAAATCCAATATTCTTGCTGTCATAGATTTATCATGAAGAAAAAATGGAAATAGGAAACAGTGCAATTCGTCTCAATGGTTTGTAAATATTTCAAGGAGTTTCAGGAGATCGTTGTATTCGTCACAGATCGATTTCATTTAGGATGATACTGAAAACAATGAGGTAATGCTCATCTGTTTATTTTGGTAAGGAGGTCATCAGTAGTGCATACTCATGATCCTACTAGGAATCAAATCTACATATCAACCATTACCATGATAAAGTAATCTAATGATAATCTTTTAAATATTTAGATTAATTAGATTAAATAAACATTAGAGATACCAAAAAGTATGCCAGTTATTTATTGAACTTGTGTTCTGTCAACTGAATGTGTTATATCCCGATGAGAATTATGAATGGTAGCTGTTGGAATCTGCTTCTGGACTAATACTATACATATGTTTTTATTGTATAACTGCTAAGTAACTGAACTATACATATTTATGTTCCTCTTATCATAAGCTTTATTTGGACCTATGAACCGTTATTATACGTTTTACCATTCCCGAGTTATGCCCAGTCTATCAATTTAGATGGTGGTTGGAGGTAGTCAACAGGAAACCCTGGACCCGGGTTTCGTGCTACTTGGCACTCGTCAGCAAGGTGTACCTGTAATCTTGAGGGAACTGGTGCTCCCTGGTGGATTCGATCTCGTGTCACCCAGCTTCACAGTCAGAGACGTTACCACTGAGCTATCCGAGCCGTGACTAACCTCCTGTAGGACTGAGATGTAATCACAATTGATTGATCACTGGGTGGTGATCAATCTCATGCTTGTCTAGTCCTTATTAGTGCAGATCGAATGCTATCGATCATGTTGCAATGTGGCCACCAGTCTAGGTGACTCGACACTGCGGGCACTATGTATTGAGATTAGATGGTGGTTGGAGGTAGTCAACAGGAAACCCTGGACCCGGGTTTCGTGCTACTTGGCACTCGTCAGCAAGGTGTACCTCTAATCTTGAGGGAACTGGTGCTCCCTGGTGGATTCGATCTCGTGTCACCCAGCTTCATAGTCAGAGACGTTACCACATGATCGATAGCATTCGGTCTGTACTAATAAGGACTAGACAAGCATGACATTGATCACCACCCAGTGATCAATCAATTGTGACCAGTCTATCAATGACTACCTCCTATATTCACAGCCACATTTGTCTAAATCTTGTGTAAATGTTATTTTCCATTTTATGGTACGATGTGATCTGTTTGATTGGTATATAAACACAGTATGTTTGAAATACATGATTCTTATTACAAACACACATTTATTCCTATTTAGGACTCGTCAGCTGGATGTACTTGGATCCCACAGTTTCTGTTCACTTTGGAATTCAAACTCAATACCTTGCGCTTTAAACGCTAACGCGCCATCCACTTAACTACTGAGTATAGATAACTGCTGCTAACCTACGGTTAGCCAGTATCTAACCCTACTTATTAAATGCTTGTGATTTAATGGTAATATACGATCCACATATGTCAAAAGAGACTGGTCAATTATAATTCTAAACACCAATGGGAGGATTTAAACAACTAAGACAACTGAGACAAAAAAAACCGTAAAAGTATAGAATAGTGGCAAAACAATCAAAACCTAGAAGGCAACCTTCAAGCTTATGAGTGAAATGCAAATTCCATATATAACGAGTAGTAAAAAATAACTTTTTGTACTACTCAAAACGTTGTAAGTGATGATGAACAATTACTTAATGCAACCACAAACAGGCAAATGAAACCATCCTTAAACCTGAAAAATAAACACTTAATCAAGAAACAAACCTTGACCTAATGATACTAAACTGAATGGATAAAGTAATCAGTGGACCTCTTGAGTTTTTGACCGAAATTCACTCATCCAAAGAACACACTGCGTCGAGTATTGGAAATAGACACCATAAAGTATGAATAGCAACTGGAAACGATTACCCAGAACAGAGTTGGATGGACAGTGCTGGTGGGTAGCCTATACTCCTCCACGACGTGGAGTAACATGCGTCAGTCAGTAAGTAAGTAAGTAAACCTTACTGTTCATTTCAAGTATTCTGACCAGTCGTCATCATCATCGCCGCCATCACCACTACCACCACCAACAACAATCATCTCTGTCTAGTTTAATTGTCAACACAATTATTAACCAATCATAAGTGTCTGATATTATATATACTTCTGAATATGAACATATACTATTACCACTTATCTGTTATATGATTATATTTGTTCCTATCTATCTTCAGTTACTAAGTATGTAATAAGGTAATAGACTATGGATACTATAATGAGGTA